TCTAGGTTATTTGTTGCAGCATTGTCTATTAAGCTCTAGGTTATTTGTTGCAGCATTGTCTACTAAGCTCTAGGTTATTTGTTCTGGTAGTGTATATTAAGCTCTAATTTATTTGTTGTAGCATTGTCTACTAAGCTCTAGGTTATTTGTTGCTGCATTATCTACTAGGCTCTAGGTTATTTGTTGTGGCAGTGTTTAGCTGCAACAAATAACCTAGAGCTTAGTAGACAATGCTACAACAAGTAAATTAGAGCTTAATATACACTACCAGAACAAATAACCTAAAGCTTTATAAACAATGCCACAACAAACAACCTAGAGCTTAATAAACACTGTCACAACAAATAACCTAGAGCTTAGTAGACAATGCTACAACAAATAAACTAGAGCTTAATATACACTACCAGAACAAATAATTTAGAGCTTTATAAGCAATGCTAGAACAAATAACATAGAGCTTAGTAGATAATGCTGCTACAAATAAAGTAGTTAAATAAACACTGCCACAACAAATAACCTAGAGATGAGTAGACAATGCTGCAACAAATAACCTGGAGCTTAGTAGACAATGCTGCAACAAATAACCTAGAGCTTAGTAGACAATGCTGCAACAAATAACCTAGAGTTTAGTAGATAATGCTGCAACAAATAAAGTAATTTAAGCTTAGTAGACAATGCTGCAACAAATAACCTAGAGCTTAGTAGACAATGGTGCAACAAGTAACCTAGAGCTTAGAAGACAATGCTGCAACAAATAACCATGAGCTCAGTAGACAATTTTAGGTTATTTGTTGCAGCATGGTCTACTAAGCTCTAGGTTATTTGTTCTGGTAGTGTATATTAAGCTCTAATTTATTTGTTGTAGCATTGTCTATTAAGCTCTAGGTTATTTGTTGCTGCATTATCTACTAGGCTCTAGGTTATTTGTTGTGGCAGTGTTTGTTAAATTACTTTATTATTGCAGCATTATCTACTAAACTCTAGGTTATTTGTTGCAGCATTGTCTAGTAAGCTTTAGGTTATTTGTTGTAGCATTGTCTATTAAGCTCTAGGTTATTTGTTGCTGCATTATCTACTAGGCTCTAGGTTATTTGTTGTGGCAGTGTTTGTTAAATTACTTTATTATTGCAGCATTATCTACTAAACTCTAGGTTATTTGTTGCAGCATTGTCTAGTAAGCTCTAGGTTATTTGATGCAGCATTGTCTACTAAGCTCTAGGTTATTTGTTGCAGCATTGTCTACTAAGCTCCAGGTTATTTGTTGCAGCATTGTCTACTCATCTCTAGGGTATTTGTTGTGGCAGTGTTTATTAAAATACTTTATTTGCTGCAGCATTGTCTACTAAGCTCTAGATTATTTGTTGTAGTAAAATTTATTCATTAAGTGTTTATTAAGCTCTAGTTTATTTGTTGTAGCATTGTTGTGGTAGTGTATATTAAGCTCTAGTTTATTTGTTGTAGCATTATCTACTAAGCTCTAGGTTATTTGTTGCAGCATTATCTACTAAGCTCTAGGTTATTTGTTGCAGCATTGTCTACTAAGCTCTAGGTTATTTGTTGTGACAGTGTTCATTAAGCTCTAGGTTATTTGTTGCAGCATTGTCTACTAAGCTCTAGGTTATTTGTTGTCACAGTGTTTATTAAGCTCTAGCTTATTTGTTGTATTAAAATTTATTTATTAAGGGTTTATTAAGCTCGAGGTTGTTTGTTGTGGCATTGTTTATAAAGCTCTAAGTTATTTGTTCTGGTAGTGTATATTAAGATCAAGTTTATTTGTTGTAGCATTGTCTACTAAGCTCTAGGTTATTTGTTGCAGCATTGTCTACTAATCTCTGCGTTATTTGTTGTGGCAGTGTTTGTTAAACTCTAGGTTATTTGTTCTGGTAGTGTATATTAAGCTCAAGTTTATTTGTTGTAACGTTGTCTACTAATCTCTAGGTTATTTGTTGTGGCAGTGTTCATTAAACTACTTTATTTGTTGTAGCAATGTCTACTAAGCTCTAGATTAATTGTTGCAGCATTTTCTACTAAGCTCTAGATTAATTGTTGCAGCATTTTCTACTAAGCTCTAGGTTATTTGTTGCAGCATTGTCTACTAAGCTCCAGGTTATTTGTTGCAGCATTGTCTACTCACCTCTAGGTTATTTGTTGTGGCAGTGTTTATTAAAATACTTTATTTGCTGCAGCATTGTCTACTAAGCTCTAGATTATTTGTTGTAGTAAAATTTATTCATTAAGTGTTTATTAAGCTCTAGTTGTTTGTTGTGGCATTGTTTATAAACCTCTAGCTTATTTGTTGTGGTAGTGTATATTAAGCTCTAGTTTATTTGTTGTAGCATTATCTACTAAGCTCTAGGTTATTTGTTGTAGCATTATCTACTAAGCTCTAGGTTATTTGTTGCAGCATTATCTACTAAGCTCTAGGTTATTTGTTGCAGCATAGGGTACTTGATAATATTCCAGCTAATGAGACATTGCTAGAATATAAGGAAATATCTTTGGTAGTAGGTAAGTATAGGTTTCATTATTTTGTACGTACTTCGGTTCCCATAAGTTTACTCTGTATATGCTATTATTAAGTTTCCTTAGTTATGCTCATGTTTCCTGTATGGAATTGTAATCGTTTATATTCGTTCTTTATGCTATTTGGGCTCTCTCTGTTCTGTTATTTAAGTTATGTTGCCAACAAACTTTACTGAAGGGTATTGTATGGTAGTTCTTAACGAACTTGCTATTCAGTGATAACACAGCTACATTAGGTTGGAGCCTCAACACGTCGTTACATCCATTCAGTTATGTCCGATCATGTTCTATATCATGAACAAGTGACCTCCTAAGAAGCTCAGCGGTAATTTTGAAAACTTATAACGCTAAAAGCCGGGTTTCGATAACTATGGTTGGAACAGCGTATGGAGGAACTATCTGTAGTTTTGCGCTTAACAACAAACAAAAACAAACTTATAACCATACATTTTGATTATAGTCCTGCAACATAGTTTCCATTGCTAAAGACTAGATCGTAGGGTTATGTCCACAGCATGACACTTCTCCCTGCCTGCTTTCCATAATCCATCTAGTGTATGAGGACGACTGTTTTAACATTCTGCTCATTTAGAAATCTATAGGTGCTGTGTATGGCCACTTGACTGGTTTGTCGTCATATGAAATAATATTAAATTAACCTGTTTCATTCTCAAAATGCTTGAGGTATGCAATGGTAGAACGGAGATCTTATGGAAGAAACTTGTGTATACGTGACTTTTATTGCTTTTCAGGACGGAAATCCTTCTATGTTCTGTTGCATAGGAAACGTGACTGGCTTTTGCCATTGATCTTTGTATTTTTGGGTTCAAACTTATTACAAGATGCCTTTGTTTTTTACCACGGAATGGTACCACTTGTTACAACTTGTTATTTATCGTGACAGGGTTTATTAAGCTCTAGGTTATTTGTTGTGACACGGTTTATTAAGCTCTGGGTTATTTGTTGTGAACTGTTTATTAAGTTCTAGGTTATTTATTGTGACACGGTTTATTAAGCTCTAGGTTATTTGATGTGTCACGGTTTATTAAGCTCTAGGTTATTTGTTGTGACAGTGTATATTAAGTTCTACTTCATTCATTGGAGCATTATCTACTAAACTCTAGGTTATTTGTTGCAGCATTGTCTACTAAGCTCTAGGTTATTTGTTGTGGCAGTGTTTATTAAGCTCTAGGTTATTTGTTGCGACAGTACTTATTAAGTTCTACTTTATTTGTTGTAGCATTATCTACTAAGATCTAGGTTATTTGTTGTGGCAGTGTTTATTAAACTACTTTATTTGTTGCAGCATTGTCTACTAAGCTCTAGGTTATTTGTTGTGGCAGTGTTTATTAAGCTCTAGGTTATTTGTTGTCACAGTGTTTATTAAGCTCTAGCTTATTTGTTGTAGTAAAATTTATTTATTAATGGTTTATTAAGCTCGAGGTTGTTTGTTGTGGCATTGTTTATAAAGCTCTAAGTTATTTGATCTGGTAGTGTATATTAAGCTTAAGTTTATTTGTTGTAGCATTGTCTACTAAGCTCCAGGTTATTTGTTGCAGCATTGTCTACTCATCTCTAGGTTATTTGTTGTGGCAGTGTTTATTAAAATACTTTATTTGTTGCAGCATTGTCTAGTAAGCTCTAGGTTATTTGATGCAGCATTGTCTACTAAGCTCTAGGTTATTTGTTGCAGCATTGTCTACTAAGCTCTAGGTTATTTGTTGTCACAGT